TCTACGCTAATTGACATCATCGTTAAGATGACGATGCAGCAGCATTATTACAGTAGAAAACTAAATGCTAAAGTTTATTTTGAAAAAAACAATTTCGACAGTGTTTATCAGCCAACAATAGAGGGAGATTTTCCCTTTTTTTTTTTTTTTTCTTTTTGTTTAGAGTTAATCGCATAAATATGAGGGAGTGGGTGATGGGAAAAAAAAAATGATGAAATTGAGCTGCTGTAATGGATGAATGATACGATAGTTTTGTTGGGTTGGAAATCGATTATGCTTCTTTTTTTTGACAGTTTTTTAAGCACTGCTACTGACTGCAAATATTGCTCAATTTTTTTCCCGTTTTTCCAATTTTTATTTTTCACTTTCTGATTTTTCGTTTTTTTTGACAGTATGAGTGGGAACTAAATAAAGAACTAGTTGAAAAAAAAAAAAACACTAACTGAATAGGAAAAAAGAAAAAAGCTTACCAAATAAATCAGAGAAGCAATTGGTAAAAAGATCAAATTCTGTGTTTTGTTGATAACGATTTGCAGGTCAGACAGTTAATTATCACTGTTATCCTAAGCAGCGGAATTTTGTTGACCAATTTAAACACTGTATTCCATAAAGGAAACAGTAATACAAAATTTTTTTTTTCTTTATTTTTTTCTTTTATTTCTTACTAAAAATTACAGAAGAATCTTATTGAAATTTGAATAAATTTAATTTTTTTTTCTATTTTTGAATCTGACTGTTTGTGTTTTGCCTAATATTTTAGCAAAAAGAAAAAAAAAAACGAGACGAAACAAAAAAGATAAATGAAATGCCAACAGAGCAGCTGTACGGTGAATAGTTTCAGCTGTTGAACAACTATACGCATAGATATGCCGCAAACTAACTGAATAGTAGGAAAATTCAATCTTCTTTTTTTTGGTTTTATTTCATACAATGTCATCTTGTTTTTTTTTTTTCTTCTTCTTCGTTTTTACAGGCACGAGGAGTGTGAGAAAATTTTTTTCCAATTTTAGTGTTGATTAGTCGGATCCTTCTGAAGTTCTGTTGTTATTTGTTGCCGTTTTATGTATTAAGTTGACTGCAATAGAGAAAAGTGGTGACAGTTGTTTGCTGTCGTTGTCGTTGTTGATTTCAGTCAGCTAATTTAAGTCTATAAGATTAGTATCTGTTAGTGAAAAATATCTGTCTTTGTTATGCTAAGATTATTTTTATTTAGTTTCAAACAGTTTTTGTAGACGGCAGCGATTCTTTGTCGGCTAAATACGTTTCCTTTGACCTCAATTTTTTTCTCGTTCACAAACGGAAATAAATAAACTATATGCAATAAAAATATTAAAACTTTTTTTTTTTTTGACTTTGAAAACTTTTACTCCCAACTTTTTTTTTTAAGAATCACTTTAATTTGGTTAAAAAACTGCCGTTATTGAATTTCATTTGAGTAAAGTGGAGTGATTAAAATTAAAAAAAAAAAGAGGAAATTTTTTTCTGCGTAGGAACAATTGTATGCGTTTTTTGATTTACGATTACTATTGATGGATCAAAGGAAAAATACCGAAACCAAAATTGGCAATTAACCAACAGTTAATTTGGCATAAATGAAGGAAAAAAAAACTTGAAAATTAACCGTGAATATAAAGTGAACAGTTGCGGTTGTGAAGAGGAATGGGGAAAAATGACAAATACAGAATGGTAGTAAGTAAGCTGTTGGATTTGCTTGTTTAGGTTTCTGGGAAAGAATGATAGAGAAGAAGCAATTAATCTCATTATGGAAAATGGGGAGGTTAACTTTTGCGAAAACATTCAGAAATGGCAATAATGATTAGTGAAGCGAAATTTGTGGTCTGATTAGTCTTCTCCCAAGAGGAACTTCAGTCTACCAACGGCCTATGATTAACGCATGCTTGCTTAACCGAGCTTGAAACTCCATCTGGACTTCAAAAAAAGAAAAAAAAAAAGAATTTCCTTTTTTTCTTGTTTTTATTGATTTCCTGAAGAAGCATAAAATAATGTCGTTTGAGTTCTGTTTGCTTCACTGAGTTAGCGGAAAATTATCGTTGTTGTCGATTTTTCTTAGCATATATGGAGACAGGAGAAACAGAGTGAATTAAAGGTTCTATGTTGTATTTTTATTTTTGTTTTTTATTTTACATTTTTTCCCTGCATGGTTCTCTTCTCTGTCTTCGCCGTTGCAAAAAAAAAAAAAAAAAATTTGGCAAAATAAAATGAGAGGAACAAAGAAAGATTTTAAAGATATGACAACTGCAATGATGAACTTTTTCTTTTTTTTTTTTTTTTTTCTCAGTGGTGAGTGTAGGTTTTGGTTCCATCTCTTTTTTTTCCATTGCCATTCACTGAAAATTTTTTATTGTGGAAATAATGGATAATATTTTTTTTCAGCATTCTTTCTTCCTTTCTTCTGTATTTTTTTTTATTCCTTTTTAAAGAATATGACAATGATGAGGGAAGGGAAAGAAGAACAAAGTGGGTAGGTGTTTTTTTTTGGCTGCTATGAAAAATAAATAACTTTTTTAACTGTTTACAAAAGAACAAAAAAAAAAAAAAAA